ACTGGGACATCATGTTTAGAAAATAAACGTCTCAGTTTCTCCGAAACACCCGCAACATACGGAATAACCACTGGTTTTGGGCTTAAAAGCCTGAATTTTGCCTGAAACTCTCAGACTGAAGAAGTCTCTTGGAGAAGAGACGAAACGTTTCATTAAAGAAGAACTCGTCCAGAAGACCTATACAWTTTTTTTCTTTTTGATCGTGAACAAATTTCAATGAAACTTTCAGAAAATAACTGCAAGTCTCCAATTAACATTTTGAGTCAATCCAATTCAAGATGGCCACTACAGCCAATCAACATTAGCAACATGGCTTTAACATAAACAGTTGTGCCGATATTGAACTAAAGATTGACGCTCGAGTAGCTAAAAGTTATTTCCAAGACATACTCTGAGTGAGACCTTGTGTTTATATCACAACTTTTTAAAGGCTTGACTTAAAATAATTATACAACATTCTTGTGGATATTTTAAATGTGACTTAAAAAGTATTTAAAAATAAAGTGATCTGCTTTAAGAAAAATCTAAAAAAAAAAAAAAACATAGAAAAGACAAAGTTTTAGAAGTCCAGGATCCAGCAGCATCTGTTATCTTTGTCACAGGATCACATGTCTTCTACAACTTGCTAAGGCAAACACACACACATACAGTATGTCACACCCACTACTCACAATATTTGCTAACAGACACGACCACCTAACACAACGGCCCTCTCCCTGAAGAAAAATGAAAAGGACAGCAGAATGAATAATGTGACACTAATGCAGTGCAGACATTATGCCCTGCAGATAATTACTTGAATGCAATCTTCCCAGCACACCATTCTATAAATAACCCCACAGCACTGCACAAATCAGCCTGAGAATCACATTCCTTCATTAGAGGTCTAAAGGTTATGTAAAGACAGAAAACAACTCTCAGCAGAGTATAGCATCATGGCTGTTTGTCACACTGGGACAATCAGTTTTAGCAACTTTATTAGCCAGAACAAGGGCCTTAATTGTGAAACAGCCTACCTCCTTGGATGCTGCATTGATGAGATATGTTTATTAAAACTTTAAAAGCAGAAAGTGATTTTATAATGCAATTACTTCTAGCACTGTCAGGTGTTTTGAAGGGAAAAAAAACTGCTTAGTGAACACCCAAGAGGTCCATGAATGAACAATTTCTGTGTTTAATAGGCACCAATCAATCAGAAGCAGAGAAAGCTGAGGCACACGTTATATCTCAAGCAGGATGTCGGATTATGCTGTTTTTATTTTAGAATCCTGCAGAAGAGGAGAGAAGCTGCAGAGTAAAAGAAAACCCATTCAGAATGTCCTCCACTGGCATTTTTTGGTATCTCTTCATGCTGCATTCAAACTGACTACAAAAGGGACATGGTTTTAATTAAAAACATTGTTTGCAAGATGGCTGAGTGATGATGTAATTGGAATTGGCTTTGTGCAAAAACTGCAAAAGATCTGTAGGGTATAGGTAATGCTTTAAAAAGCCCTTTGTAGTAATAGTACTTCATTGAATTATATATTTTTTTTTTTTCCAAATTGATGCAAACCAGTATTCAGCAGTGCTGAGGGAAGTTCTCCAGAAACAGAGCATCTTTTTTTATTTTCATTAATTCAACATTAAAGGTGCAAATTTWTCTGCACCATATGAGCATAAAGAGCCACAGGCATCTCCAAATGCAGTCACCACTGGGTGGGCTGCTTTAGATCAAATAAAATAAAGATATGGGCGCAACCCCCCCACACACAAGCCCATCCACTCACCGTCCTGCGTGTCGTTCCCGCGGCTGCAGTTGCTGCAAATGTGCTTGATTTCTTTGCCGATCTGACAGTGGATGGTGAAAGGCATGCTGTTGTTGTTGTTGTGCTGCAGATTCTGGCCGGGGCCCTTCTTGTTGTTACCCAGAGACATGATTCTGACCAGGCTGAACGCCTTCTTCGTCTTGGGCTTGTCCACGGCCACGGGCGCGTTCTCTCGGCAGCCCGCGGCGGACAGCCAGGCGCCGTGGATGATGGTGGGCGCAGGATCCACGGCCGGGTAGTTCACCGCCTTGAACATAGTAAGGATGGTGATGGGGACGCGGAAACGGAGCGGCGGTGTTTACCAAAGGGCCATCCTTCTTCTTCTTCCTTTTTTTTTTTTCTTTTGTCTTTTTACCTGAGACTCGAAGACGCGCAGCCTGTTTGGTTAGTGGGGAAAAGCGCAGCTGACAGATCTAAGAGAGCTAATAATAATAATAATAAAAAAAGGAGGCAGGCAGAGTGGTGAATGGCAGWGCCTCCCTCTTCCTCCCTCCTGCGTGGAGCTGTGGACTGCAGTCGGTTGTGGCTAATCCACGATTAGCGGAGCTGCGCTCTGATTGGCTGCGTGGACAGAGGAAAAGTTGCGTCCACATTAACCCCGTTGTTTTTTAAACAAGCTGCACCACATCACAGCCTCTTGGTTCCTCCTTCAAGGCGCAATTACAACAGCCGAGTAGAGTTTTGATACTGATCTATTAGAGAACAAAAACAGGGATTTTGATGAGGATTTGCAGGTTGCGTCGCCTAATGCAGGGGCGGTTTTAGCATGAATGGTGCCCTGGGCGAACCCCTCCTTGAAGGGTTTTACATTTCACTGCATCTGATACAAATATGTCAATCATACCCCCCCCCCCCCATGTAATTGTTAGCTGTTTTAATTGTAAAATAGATTTAAAATCCCCAAGTTGACTTTTCCTTTGTCAGAGGTGAGTGTATCTCGACCCCCTCCTCTTTCTTCCAGCCTCAACATACTCCATCTTCTTCCCCCTGGAGTCTTTAATTCAAATAAAATAAAATAAAATAAAATAAAATAAAATAAAATAAAATAAAATAAAATAAAATAAAATAAAATAGAAATATATAAGTCAGAGACGTGTCACCCAACATTATTTGTCCACAAATCTGTCCTGGTTAAAGCGCCACAGTTTTTATCGACAAATTCTTCCAYGAAAAACATCAGATTTATCTCCATCCATGAGTTTTTAAACTATTTGACTGTCTTCATAAACATCTGCTTCCTGGTAGTACAACAGTCAACTTCTGGAAGCTTAGTCGTTTATTTATTTATTTTTTAAGTGAGTGGTTGAAACGAGTGCTTTCAGCATAAACAAACACTCCCACAAACTTCTGATCAAACACACAATAAATTCCTATGTGGAGGGGTGTAAAATGTTCTGCCGGCAGGTTGTGACAAAAGGGCAGAGTTGACGCTGAGAACACGGTGAGGTCATTTTAGTCGTGAAACTGCAACGATCATAGTCAATTTCGGCAGTTCGGAGGCAGTGTGAAGTAGGCTTTATTCTTCCACAGCCAGGTCTGACTATCCATCCATCCATCCATCCATCCATCCATCCATCCATCCATCCATCCATCCATCCATCCATCTTTCACTTCTCATCATGGTCACAGGGGTCATGTTGTCCGTGTCCAGTCATTGTGCAAGAGGTGGGGAATGCAGAAAATCTCCATTCATAAAAGTCCCCAGCTGGGCCACAGCACRTCAACTGAGCCACCGCTGACCATTTGTAGCTTAAATGTATTTAAGAAATTTTTCATTTATGATCTCAAAGAAAAGTWGCCTATAACACAAATCAKTTTAGTGCAAATACATCGGCTCTGTGTAATGGTGTACATTTATCAGTCTAACTGTCCCTGTGGCGTTTTCATTGCAACCTCAGTGTTTATATCACCAAAATGTGAGTGTGGCTGCTTTGGTAACGATATTTAACTACAAAATGGTTTATTGACAGGACACTTGTGTGCTGATATAAGTACGCAGTTATCTGTTTTTTTAAATTAAATTACTCAAATAAATAATTAAATAAATAAACATATCAACTTGACTTTTATTTGGAAGTTAAATACATTTTGCTTCCCAACCAGGGAGCTTTCTTTACTCAAAAATCTGGAGAGTGTGGAGTTTTAAGCTTTTTGAACTGTATGAGAAGCTCCATTATGTAATTTAGATTCACATGCAGATTAAACCAGGATTTAATCGCCAGTTCTTTTAAATGAGAAAACTCACCGGATGGGAAGTGAAACGTCTTCAGCTGTAGAACAGAAGTGCAGTTGTTTTATTTCCTGTTCTATATCTGTGCATAACTACCTCTCTTTGTTCAGGACAACTAACTATTGAAACCTCCTTCATTTTGCAAATAGCAATCAAATAATATTAATAAAAGATGATAAAAACACTTAAATCCCTAATAGAACAACACAATGCTTAAATTCTAGCTGAGAAATAAAAAGAAAAAAAAAGAAAAAATTTTCTCCAGAAAATCCAAAACTTCATTCAGTTTTGGGAATAATTGCCAATATTAATGGCCTGTTAATGAGTTGTTAATAATGGAGAGAATAAGGAACCCTAGGGCAGTGGTTCCCAATTTTTTTATCTTCTGACCCACAAAATATCCATGGCAAAAACTTGTGACCCCAAATATTACTGGTCTGAGTACAAACTTTGTTAATAACCCTAAAAACACAGACTTTTTGACAATCTAAACAGCTTGTACACAAATATAAATACTTATTTATACTTATTTTGTGATTTTATAATAGTTATAGGGAAAATATTACATTAGCAATTATTTTATTACTCTTTAAATTGATTTCTGGAGATTATCCAAGGTGCTTCATGACCCATAATTGGGTCCCAAGCCCAACTTTGGGAACCAAAGTGCAGTGGTTCCCAAACTTTCCGCTTTTGATCCACAAAATAACAGCAGCAGAGACCTGTGAACCCAGCTATTTTTGGATGATAAACATTTGTATCAGGTCAACTAAACATGGGCATAGTAACAATATTTTTATACTACATTTATCCATTTTAAATACACTAACCTCACTCCTTTGTAATAAATAAGGCAAAAATGTCATTAATTCCAAAAATCTTTTCAGGACCCCACCTTGATGTTTCGGGACCCCACTTTGGGAAACACTGTCCTAGGGCAAATACTCCCATCCCAGCGCAGTCAGCTGCAGACGTTGGTGTAAAGTTTCACTCTAAAAAACATACACCTAAAAAGGGTCAAAGGGTTAATCATACAAAGAAATTGTAATAATTTTAGTTGTTAAACTATGACACAACCTGTCTCTACGGAAGACACATGCATTTTGTCTTGGTTCTATTCCACCATAACATCACTTTCATGCTAATATAATATACTAGCACAAAACTGGATATTATATGGTTTTTTGCCTGAATGCTGTATTTCATCATTTAAAATGACAGCAACRATAACATGACCCAGGTATTAAAGGAACAAAAGCATAAGTCCTGTAAAAAAAGATGCATGTTACAGCAGCAAGAAGGCTAGAACAACAGGCAACCCATATGTTTGTATGGGTTGCCTGACACCAGTTTTTTTTTTAACTGTAGTTTGTATACTCTTCTTGCCCTTGATTCACAAAATTCTGCCTGAGGACAACAGAGGAAATCAAAAGTGATGCGARCCAAGGCCTTTTGTTGTTGCTGTTTTGTATTTTTATGCTCTTCGTGTACTGTACTGTTGCCCACTGTTTGTTATCTGATAAACCTTACAAGAATCTGATCAAATCGGTCATCTGTTAGCAGCAAATAAAAACAGTTGGACTGCTGTCATATCACCCCAGTGGTTACAGCTCCATCAGGTTTAATCAGCTGGTCATAACTGGTGTTCTTTGAGAAACAAAAACGTGAAGCAGGTTATGATAATTAATTATTTACATGTCTTTTATTTCCCCTTTTTATTCTGGCTGCTTATTATCTGTAATGACAGAGTTACATTGGCTGTAATGATAATATTAGTGAAATAATTCCTCTAAGGTGTCTAAGGGAAAATATATATACACACACACACACACACACACACACACACACACACACATATACAAGACAAAATGTCATTATATGCTCTAATAAAATACGGAAAAGGTTTACATGCTGTGTTTTGTCTGTTCCATCTCCCCGTCACAATCTCTTTCATTAGTTCTGAACAAACAGCTTGTTGCTCGAAAAATGGTGGCAGCTGGTCATTATTGTTTAAAGGTGTGTGAAACGAGTTGCTCATTGTGAGTTTCATGGTGGAGTCATCAAATCCAGTAAAGCAGTTGAGCCTCATGAGCATAGAGTGTGGTTYGTTTTGTTCTGGATTTAGGATTGAAATGTGAATATCAACATTTGTGCAACAAATAATGGTRGTTTAGATCAAGCAAACCAATCAAGCAAATAACAAAGATGATCAAGAGAAATAGTGCCTCCTATCCCAAATAATCTTAAACTATTGTGTAAATGTCTTAAAAGAAAACAATATATCTCATTTCTTTATTTTTGCAAAGCAACATTAAAAAAAAAACAGATAAGGTTTTACTGATCCTGTTTGGTTTTTGGACACTAGTGCCCATTTTATGCATTTGCAGCCCAGTTTTATCCCTTGTCGTTGTCCGAGCAAAGCATGCTTTGCTTGGAAAGCCATTAAATGCAGATCTATAAATAATAAATACGTWACAAAAGCACATAGAGAAACAACCATTAAATCATAAACAGTGTTTTTTAAAAAATTTGTCACTGGAAGTCTGTTGCAAAAAATACGTTTTGTTCTCTTTTTTCTATAAAACCTGCAAACCAGAGTTAGGGACATAAAAAATGCCACTTTTACACCAACAAGATGATAGCAAAGAGTTCAGGTTCTATGATCAACAGAAAAAATGATGCATATGTCAGGTATCTAACCTGATACTGTAAATGGTGAAACTAACATATTTCTTCCAGTCAGAGATGAATTCCAAAACTCACTAAAATATTTAGAGCTGAAGCAGAAACCACCTGAAAACCTGAACCTAAGCAAACACATGACATGAACATTAGACGATGTGGATCACTCTAAGAACTTCCACACACAGTTAGAAAGTTTGCCTCTGTGACTCTGCATAAAATGTGCTCAGATGGATAAAAATAAGATGTCACAGTACGCTGCAACTCTTCCTGTAAGCTCAGGTAATCCTGCCAATCCCGCCTGACAAACAACCGAATAAAGGGAAGTTGTTTGACGAAACTTCAGGAAATGAACAGAACCCTTAACAGAAATGTAAAAACTGTTGCTGACTTGCTTGCTGTTCCAGTTATCTAATGTTTTGGATTCTGGTTTGAACTGGTTTCCATGGCTGCGGTGGAGGTTTTGGGTGAAGCGATCTCACAACTTCCGACCGAGCAGCCTGTCACTCCAAATCTGCTGCTCCCATTCTTCCAGTGTCTCTGTGTCTCTTCCCATCTGTCTTTTTCTCTCTGCATTATTGCCAGTCTTACTCTTTG